AGTGAGGGTCAGAGGCCAGATGTGAACAGCCTTCTTGATTCCAAGTCCAGGACTCTATTCAAGACATTCGGCTGCCATAAATATTTTTTGCGCATAAAAGACCTTTTCCTCTTTGATTATATTTGGGTATAGGCTTAGCAGTGGAATCAAAGGGCATGAACTATTAAGCACCATTTTGTATATAATTTCAAATTGCTTTCCAGAATGGTTGTATCCATTTATAAGTCCAAAACAGTGCATTAATGTGCCTATTTTCTCACAGTGCCACTTCCTTCATTTATCTTTTTCTCTTTTTGTCATCTCTGCCACTCTCATGGGTATAAGGTAGAATTTCAGAATTGCTTTCATTTGAATTTCTCTAATCAGTGATTTGGGGCATTCCTTCCCTGACCCCTACCCCTCTGCCTGCCAATATGGCAATGTAACCTACATTTCTTGTCTTGAGAACTGTTTATATGCGTAGACTATTTATCAGTTCAAGAATAGCTCTTATAAATTTGAATTAGTTCCTTATATACATTGGAGATGATACCTTTGTCAGAGAAATTTGCTGCATAGTTTCCTCTCCTCCCCACCTCCCAGTTTATTTTTTCTGTTTTTTTTTTCTTCACTCACAGGCATATATTCAATTTAAAATTAATGATACTAGACATTAATTGATAACAGATGACATTTATGTAGTGCTTTAACACTCATCCTTACAATAGACCTCCTGGGCCATCTTCAGGCATCCTGATCTGTATCTTGCTACTGGACCCAGATGGCTCTGGAGGAGAAAGTGAGGCTGGTGCCTTTGCACAGCCCTCCCTCACTTAAATCCAATTCACTTGCAAGTCATGGCCTCATCTTCCTGATGCCATGGTCCTCTTCGAGAATGAAGGACAAATCACAATGACACAACAGTAGATCTGAGATAGGTATGGCAGATGATACTAATCCCACTTTACAGAATAGGAAACTGAAGCTCAAAGGGTATTTGTCCATGGTCAAACACCCTGCAACTACCAGAAGTGGGATTTAAAGCTATCTTTCTTCTGACTGCATTCAGTGCTTTGCAGTATTACCTGTTACCTTCATCTCTGGGGTGCATATTGGATTTTTAAAAGTAGTATAATCGACTGTCATTGTAAAATGTACTCAGTGGATACACTTTCAAAATGAAGACTATCTTGACATTAATTGTATATTTTCTACTAAGAATAGATGCACCTGGAAAATGTAAACTTTTTTTTTTCCAACCCAAGCACTCAATGTAAAAAACTTCTCTTCTGATTTTCCTGTAGGGGTGGGGGGGGGGAGGAATCTTTAGATGTCTGTAGCTCTATCTGATGAGAGATTACTTTGGTCAAAGTCAGAAACTGAGTAGTATTTTCCCCAAATAAAATCCTTCCAGGCATTTGCATCAATTTCCCCATGCATAGGAATCAAAATTAGCGTCTTTTGCTTTAGGGTCAATAGAAATTTAATTTTTGCTTTGTCTAATATATAAACTTAGGTTTGGCTTTTTCCTTTTCAGTTCAAAAGTCCTGCAGGGTTCAGAATTTCAAAGCTTTTTAAATTAACTACTGATCAATTTGAATTATGTTGCTATATGGTATGAATGGCTCAGGATAAAAGCTTTTCTTTTCCTCATTTAAAATAAAAAGCAAATTTTGGGTAAAATGGATAAAATTACATTTTTCCCCCCAAAGCTAGGTAGTGCAATGGAGAGAGCACAGGATATGGCATCTGGTAGACCTGAATTTGTTTCCTGCCTCAGACACTCTGTGATTCTGGGCTTTATTATTTAACCTATTTGTGCCTCAGTTTCCTCATCTATAAAATAGGAATAATAATAACACCTACCTCCCAGGCTTGTTGCAAGGATCAAATGAATCAACATCTGTAAAACACTTTTTAAACTGTGAAGGACTATATGCATACTGATTATTGTTATTTAAACCAATTTTTACAGTTATCTTTTGTTTTTACTTCATCCAAATATCTCCTAGTACTTCCCCTTTTGACTCCAGAGAGCCATCCTATGTGAGAAAGAATATTTTTAAAGAATAAGAATAAGAAAACAATCAACAAAATTTGTTAATACATTGGATAAGTTTGAAAATGTACACAATGTTCCACGCCCATGGTCCTAAAGGAGTGGGAGGGGTGCTTTTAATATTCCCTTCTTATTCTTATTCTTTGTAATTCTGTAACATCCCCTTTAATCATTTGGAACATTTCTTCATGCGATTCTTCACTTCTGTTTTGCTCTTTCTCCATTCCATTCAGGCATCCTTCACACTGCTTTAGAAAAGCATTGATCCCACTGGTGGGGGATGGGCAACTTCTATTGGGAAGCACATGGTACAGTCAATGAGAACATATTGTCAGACTGGGCAAAATCTACAGACTGGGAAAAGGAGGTTCTCATCTTTTGACCTTCTTATAAAGTCAAGTCCATTCATTCATTTATTCATATGTTTTACAAGAATTTATCAAACAGGTTCTGTTAGGTACTAGGGATACAAAATACAAAAATAAAGTGTTAAGACAAGGGCCCAGGGATATCGTTTCCTACCTTCAAACCCTGGAGTCTTCCAGACTTTGCTCATGTAACATTTCCTATAGAAAGCCTTTCTTGAGCCTCCTAATTTTTAAAGGTCTCTTCCTGTTGCACTTATCTAGTATTATTACTTATCTGTGGGCAATTGTATTCACATCACCCCAAAAGAATGTAAGGTCCTGTGTGGTAGGAACCATTTTCACCTTTGTCTTTGTATCTTGTGTTGACCTGAGATATCAGGGAAGGCAGCTCCAGGTGAAGAAACTACCCCCTCCAACTTCCAACTGGGCCATGACCCCCTGGAGGTAAAAGTAATTAGGACACTTAGTGTGGCAAACTAGAAAGTGTGGAAGCCTTGGAATAGGGGGACATTTCAGTGGGTTTGAATACTGGTTCTTTTATTTCATCATCAAAAATATTTATTAAATACTTACTAATAAACTGTAGGTACAGAGAAAGAGAAAATCACTATTTCTGTCCTTGAGGAACTGACGTCTTCAAGAGGGAGACAATATATAAATAACTATGTACATACAGGATACATACAGAGGAGAGGGTGGAAGGTAAATTTCAAAGGGAAAGGCACCGGCAATTGTGGGAGGAGAGAACTGGCCTGGGAAAGGCTTCCTGCAGAAGGTGGGATCTGGGCTGAATCTTGAAGGAGGGCAGGGAAAATGAGATGAAGGTTGAGAAGAAGGAGGATTCCAGAATGGGGGACAGCCAGTGCAAAAGCATGTAGCTGAGAGATTGAGTGTCATGGATAAGTAAGCTTCTGTGGCTAAATTATAAGAGTTGGAAGGGAATAAAGTATAGGAAGTAGAGAAGGAAATAGCAAACCACTCCAATATCTTTGTTAAGAAAATCCCAAATGGGGGCAGCTAGGCGGTGCAGTGGATAGAACACCAGCCCTGGATTCAGGAGGACCTGAGTTCAAATCCAGCCTCAGACACATAACATGTAGTAACTGTGTGACCCTGGGCAAGTCACTTAATGCCTCACCAATAAAAAAAAAAATCCCAAGTGAGGTCACAAACAGTCAGACAGGACTGAAATGACTGAACAACAAAGTATAGGAAGAGTGGAAAGATGGGACAGATCAGGTTCCATTTAGCTCTAAGTGCTAAATGGAAGATTTTCACATTGGATCCTGGTGGAGCCACTGGGGTTTGTTGAGTAAGGGTCAATGTAAGAAAATATAATAATATTATATTTTATAATAATAATACATAACTACATGGCATATGGCTTAGGCAAATCACTGTTTGTTGAGACTATGTTGGAATGGAGTGGAAGGATTTGAGAAAGGGACAGTAACCCAAGGGCTATTGAAATTGTGCAGATGAGATAATGAGGATGTCTAGTAGGGTAGGGCCAGTAGAGAGAAAGGAATATACAGGAAAGACATTGTGGAGATAGAAATGAAAAGATTTGATAACAGACTGCATTTGTGGAGTGAGAGAGAATAAGGAGTTGAGGATGACACTGAGGTTGGGAGCCTCCAACCTCATTTTATAGATGAGAAAACTGAGGCAGTCGGAGGTTAAAGGACACAGTAATAAGTATCTGAGCTTGGATTTAAATTCAGGTCTTCACAACTCCAGGCCCAGCACTGTTATCTACTGTACCACCTAGCTAGCTGCCAACAATAATAGGAAAGTAGGGAAGAGGATAGAGTTTTTTGGGAAAAGATCTTTTTGGATATATTGAGTTTAAGATACATATTGGACATGACATTGATTTGTTTCATTATCTGCAAAAGGAATTGGACTAGATCAAATTCTTTACCTCTTTCTAGATAGAGTTTTAGAGGGTCCACAGACTTGGATGGGAAAAAAAATACATCCTTATTTTCACTAAGCCATATCTAAAATTTAGCATTTACTTCAATTATGATTTTTTAAAAAAATCCCTAGAAGCAGTTTATTGATTTACTAGACTGCCAAAGGGGCCTCCTGGATCTCTGAGGTCCTTTTAAATTACAAATCTATGATCTTAAAGAGTATCATCTTCATCTTATAGACAAGGAAAATGAGACTCCAAGGTTAAGTTGCACAGCTTGTAAGTAACAGAGTGGGGACACGAAGCCAAGTTCTTTCATTCCAAGTTCAGAACGTTTTTCTTCCCACTACACAGGAAGGACAAGGTCACATACTGGACTTGGACTGTGATGCAGGGATCCTTTCTCAGATGCTCTGTCAGATCCCTGAGCAAGTTACTTAAACCTCTCCAAGCTTTAGTACAATGGGTACAATACTTGTATTCTCTACTTAAAAGGGTTTTGTTGAGAAAAAAAGAAGGCTCAAACTTTAAAAGCTATAGAAATGTGGGCTATGGGTTTTACACCTTACCGTCTTGGTGGTAGACTTACTTAGTTGTTTTCATTTTAACACATCTCAAGTGAAACCTTTGTACTCTCTGACACACCTAACCAAAAGGTTTAAAGAAGGATAGGCCCTTTTCAAATAGGTTATGCTTTATTAAAAATAATAATAAACTATTCACTTACCACGTCAGTATAACTCTGAAACAAATAATAATTTATGATATGCAATATGCTTTAAGCTTTTCCACTTGAAGCAACAACATATAAAAACTAAAGTATTATCTCTCAGGGGGTTTCTTACTCCTTAAGATTAAAGGGTAAAAAGGCAAGTCCCCCCAAATTCAAAGGAAGGTGCTTCTTGTTTGACAAAACATCTTTCCATTCATCTCTATGGGACCAAAGATGAAGTTTTCTGTAGAACTATCCATTGCAGGAGAAAGCAAGGAAGGAGAAGGAGAGAACACAGGGTATATTGTAATCTTGATCCTTTAGAATGTAACTTGATAAATTCTTCTTTCGGGTCTGAAAAAAAAACATTCAGAGAGTAGAAGAGATAAAATAGTTGAGTTCTTAGTTTAAAAGGAAATGAAATATGAAATGTTTTCAGTGGACTTTGAAATGGGAATTTCCCTCCTTACTCTTAAAGTTCAGAGTTATCAGCTGGGGAAGCCAATCAAAGACTATTCTCTGAAGAAAGAGCTTTGAATGGAGGCCACAGAGGATCATTTAAGAAGCAACAGATAGCAGTGGAAGGACCCTGACTCGGTGGATCTCACCAAAATCAAAGCAAACACAGCCCCGGGACAAAGATACCAGGGAAAGAAAGTCAACTGGTTCTTTATCCCTGGGGGTATCGAGGGAAAAGTTGAGAGGGTCAGGGGCAGGTCAGAGACTTGACTTCCTCCTTCAAACCAACAACTGGAACAAAGAGGAAGACGCACATTATGTAAACCTGAGGAGAAGAAAGCCGACACCAGTTTCTTAGGAGCAACCTAGGTGGGGGGTTGCCTGAATAGCATTAATATTCTTTTCACTTGAGATAAAGGTAATGAGATTAATGTGGGGCTGTGAGAGCTTAAAGGGAGAAAAAAAAAGTGTTGCATTATTGTCTTGAGAGATTTAACAAGTCACATTCCTCCCCCTCTTAAGGAGAGAAAATCCAGATGTAGAATGGTGGGGGACTTACTCCAGGTCACTGAGCCATCAGTGACACAGTTATTAACAGGAATAAAGAATGTTTTCAGGGAGTACTTATCTCCCCAAAGTTCAAAGCGGGGCCGTGAATGAATTCAACATACATTCCTGTAAGGAGGGGCAGTTTTATTAAGTCACAGAGGGAACAGGAAACGATGAGGTGGGCATTAGCAGTCCCATTCCGGAGCACCAGGGATCACCTGCCAGCCTTGCCAGGATAAATCAGACGTTTACTTCTGGCTGCCATGTTGACCATGGCTGTAAGACTTAAATCTTAAGAATACAAAAGTCCAGGTGATTTATTAGAGGCTGCTCTGGCAGAACCATAAATAGGGAGGTATTATTATAGGTACTTCCTTCAGTGGTCCCAGGCTGAAAATGTAGCACCATGGACTTTAGAGTAGGATGGGGTAAGGGTCTATGAGACAATCTCATATATACAAAATACCTGGCTGGCAATCCTTATTTTTTACTCCTAAAGAATAAAATGAGATGAATAGTGACGTAGGTATTAGACACCTATTTTTAAGACAGGTAGGTTGAGGACAGATACTATTATTCCCATTTCCCTCTGGGAAAAGACTTAGGAGAATATTTGCCAGAAATCACAAAGTGATGTGGAGCCACAGCTGATCAGTCTCCGTCATTTCTATCAATAAGGATGAAAGAATGAATCAATCAACTATTTTGTACTAAACATTATGCTAAATGCTTTCCAAATATTACCTCATTTCATCATTATTATCTCCATTTTACAGTTAAAGAAACTGAGGCAGAGGTTAAGTGATGTGCCCAGGGTCACATAGCTAGTAAAGATCTGAGGCTGGATTTGAATTCAGGACTTCTCAGGCCCAACACTTTCCACTATGCCATCAGCTACCTCACACCTATGTATAGAGGTTAGCTCCAAGGCTAATCCTTTCTATTCGCTACAATATACAATATGTTGCCAATATACATAAAGGAGATCATAATCTAGTGTTGTAGGTATGTTTAGAATGTACATATTTATGTATATAGAAAATTGATATTAGATAATTTGGAAGTGAAGGCCTTAGCAGTTGGGATATCAGGAAAAGTTTTATGTAAAAGGAGGCACTTAAACTGAGTTTTCAAGGATGCTAGGGATTCTAAAAGGCCGTTACATCCCAGGCATGGGGGTCCGACCATGAAAAGATCCAGAGAAGGGGCAGGTAGGTGGTGCAGTGGATAGAGCACCAGCCCTGAAGTCAGGAGGACCTGAGTTCAAATCCAGCCTCAGACCAAACACTTGATACTAGCTGTGTGACCCTGGGCAAGTCACTTATCCCCAATTGCCTAAAAGTAAAAAAAAAAAAGGGTCCAGAGAAGGGAGATGGGATACTGTGTATGGGGACAAATCAGAAGGAGGGTAGTCTATGTGAAAAGGAGTTACAGCTTGAATTTTCTATGGCTAGAAAGGTAGGACAGGGCTAGGTTGTGAAAGGTTTAAATGTCAAAAAAAAAAAAGAAGAATTTATATTTGATCCTATAAAATGAGGATTGCCAGCCAGGTATTTTGTATATATGAGATTGTCTCGTAGTTCTTTGCCTCATTCTACTCGAGTCCATGGTGCTGCATTTTGACATTTAAACCACTGGAAATCATAGGAAACCAGTGGAGTAAGGGAGTGACATGGCCAAATTTACATTTAAAAAAAATCACTTTGACAGTTATTTGAAGGATGGATTGCAATAGGGAGAGATTCTATACAAAGAGACTGATTAGGAAGCCACTGCAGTATTCTAGGTGAGAGATTATGAATCTCTGAATTAAAAATGGAGCCATGTGGGTAAAGGGAAGGATATATATACAAAAGATAATAATAAAAGCTAACATTTATATAGTGTTTGCTAAGCAATTTACAATTATTATCTCATTTGATCCTTATAACAAGGCTGGGAGGTAGATGCTATTATTATCCTCATTTCACAGATGAGAAAACAGGCAAACAGAAGTAAAGTGACTTGCCTAGGGTAATACAACTAGTAAGTATCAGAGGCCAGATTTGAACTTAGTTCTATCATGACCCAAGCCCAGGGATCTATCCACTTCAATACCTAGTTCCCCCAGTTTTATAAAAGTAGAAAGGACAAGACAAGTCTGACTGAAATGAGTGACTGAATATGTGGGGTGAGTGATAGTGAAGGGTAAAGGATGACATAAATTTGGAGCCTAGGTGACTCAAACTATGGTGGTACCCTCAATGGAATAGGGAAGTTTGGAAAAGCATTAAATGTTGGGGAAAGATAACAAGTTCTGTCCAGGATGTCCAAGACAGCCGATGGTACAACTGGAGCTCAAGAGGGAGGCTAGGCCAGGATATAGAAAGTCATCAACACAGAAGTAGTAATTGACCTGTAAGAGCTGATATGGTCACCAAAAAAGCACATAAAGAGAGAAGAAAATCCCAATTAGTGCTTTAGGATATATTCACAGTTAGGGGGCATGATATGGATGAGGATCCAGCAAAGGAGACTGAGGAGCAGTCAGACAGATTTATAAAATGAAAGAGACCTCACATATTGTCTAGTCCAGGGGTCAGCAAATCATGGCCTAAACAGCTATTTTTGTATGGCCCTTGTTTAAAAATGTAAAAACCATTCTCAGCTTGAGAGCTGTGTGAAAGCAAGGAGAGGCCCAGGTTTGGTCTGTGAGTGGTAGTTTGCCCACATTTGAGAAAGTGAAGTCCAATAGAAGTAAATGACTAGCTTAAGGTCACAGGGGTAAGTGAATCGGTCAAATCCAAGTCCTCTGACTTCTAATCCCCTGATTTTTTCCCACTGTGTCATGCTGTGTTTCCAGAATCTAGAATGAATTGTTTGCCCATGGCCACATAGCTCCTAGGTACCAGGTTATGACTTTGTCTTCTTAACTCCAGGACCAATATTCTTTTCTTCTATCCTATGTTTTGTATCTCTACAAATTTCAGTTTTGATGCAAGCACTTAAATATTTGGAATGGAGGATCTATATTTTCATTCTGATATACATAAGTGTATGTGTGTGTGACACACCCACACCCACACACATATATGTATATATATACATATTGATGGTAAATTATTTCCCATTGTAATATACTGATAATGACAATATATTAAAATGCTTTGGTCAATAAAAATACTCACACTTTCTTTATAAGACATTGAGACTTTGGTTAACTTTTATTCTGCCCATTTTCAAGGTAAGGAAAGTAAATGAGGCTTCAAAGTTAAGTGACTTACACACAGCCACACATACAACAAATGACAGGGTTAAGAAAGACCATTAATTCTAGAGTTCAGAGCACCTGGGTTCAAACACCACTCCTGATGATTAATAATAATAGCTAGTTTTTATATAGCTCTTTTAAGGACAGCTAGGTGATGCTGTGGGTAGAGTGCTGGGCCTGGAGTCAGGAAGACTAATCATCCTGAGTTCAAATCTAGCCTCAAACACTTACTAGGTGTCTGACCCTGGGTAAGTCCCTTAACCTGTTTGCCTCAGTTTCCTCATCTGTAAAATGACCTGGAGAAGGAAATGGCAAACCACTCCAGTATCTTTGCCAAGAAAACCCCAAAGGGAGTCACAAAGAGTCAGACAGGACTGAAATGATTCAACAACAAACAATAAGGTTTGCAAGACACTTTACAAATATTATCTCATTTTATCCTTACAAAAACCCGGGTGGCATGTATTGTTATTAGCTCCAATTTACAAATGGGGAAGCTTAAGTAAATAGTAGTTAAATGACTTATGCAGGATCATACAGCTAACTTGAGCCTCGATTTGAACTCAGATCTTCCTGACTCCAAGTCCATTGCTTTCTCCACTGCACCGTCTAGCTTCTTCTGACCTCTGTGATCTTAGATAAAATACTTAACTTCCCTGGGACTCCACATCTGTAAAATGAGGTGGCTTGAGTAGATGGCGTCTGAGGTCCACTCTATGTCTAGACCTATGATTGTATCCTTGAATCCAAATTTTCCAACTTCACGTCCACTGCTCTTTCTTTCCTTTATACTATGCTTGCCTACCCTATTTGGCAAACGCTACAGCTGTCTGTTCTAAGGGGAGAATACATAGAGGAGTGTCTATGACGTAAAAAAAGGAGCCAGACCTGAATCAAGATCCTCTGATACATAACCCAACATGCTTTGCTCTTTGTTGTTATTATGCCATAAACATGATTTTGAGGAATTCAGAGAACCATGGGGTGGGAAGATTTGAATGAATTTATAGAGTGAAGAGAGTAGAATCAAAAGACAATGATCAATGTAAAGTGACACAAAATTAAAAAACATTAAAACTCTGATCAATATAATGTCTACTCTTGCTTGCAGAGATCTGACCCTGAAATGGACCTTCCTCCTTTGGATAGAAGAGAGATGGTGACATGGTCAATGTGCAAATTTCTTTTACTGAATTGCACTTTTTTTTGTTGTTGTTGCAGGGAAAGGTTCTGTTGAGGACAAGGTAGATATTGAGAAGGGATGGTAATCTTTAGAAAAAAAAACAACAATAAGACATCAGAAAAGAAAGATAATGAAAAGTGTTAAGTTCTGTTAGCATTCCATATCTCTGAGGCCTCTGATAGCTCACAGAATGATGGCTCCTTCAATTCTCAAGAAGTTCACATCTCATCTTTAATTCTAGGGGAGGGGAGTGTCCTGCTCAGCATGTTTGTAGTAGAAAGTGGTGACAGAACTGTGATTTCATTGGCATATGAAAACTCCTACCAAAGCAAGTTTGCACTTTCCCTGCAAATTTGTCTCAGAGGACTGAATAGCCTAGCTAGATCACAGAAATGTTAAGTGACTTCCAAGGCCAGTGTTATACAATCAGTATGTGGCAGAGATCAGCTGTCTACAGTTTACAGCATGCTACTTCTCAATGTAATAGGATGTATTTTAATTTTTGTTGTTGCTGTTCAATTGTTTCAGTCATATCTGACTCTTTGTGACCCCGTGTGTAGTTTTCTTGGCAAAGATGCTGGAGTAGTTTGCCATTTCTTTCTTCAGCTCATTTTACAGATGAGGAAACTGAGGCAAATAGGGTTAAGTGACTTGCCCAGGGTCATACAGCTAGTAAGTGGCTGAGGGCACATTTGAACTCAGGATGATTAGTCTTCCTGATTCCAGGCCCAGCCTTCTGTTCAGTGCATGCACCACCTAGCTGCCCCTTTTAATTCTTTAGCAAGGCAAATATTTTAACACTCACTTATTTTCTATATCAAAATATTTAGTACTTATAGTCTCTCTCTTCAGTGATTTCAATTTGAGGATGTTTGAGCAGGATTGTGGACTGTAGACCAGAACAATGCATAGAACACTGGCTCTGGCATCAGTCAACTTAGGTGCCAATCCTACCTCAAAATCACTTAAACTCTTGGTCTCAGTTTCCTTATCTGTAAAGTGAAGGAGTTGGGGTAGATGACCTATCAGTTCCTTTCCAGCTCAAGATCTTTGATTTAACTATTCTGTTGTTTCTTCCCTACGAACCCCAAGAGTGTCCACACAATACACCTGGAACAGGTAGAGCCTATGTGGTACATATAGGAAAGAATACTGGAATGAAAATCAGAAGAAACTTGGCTTTAGGTCTTGCCTTCCACAATTACTATCTATGTGATCTTGGCCAAGTCACTGAAATTCTCTAAACTTCAGTTTCAATATCTGCACAATGGGGACGATAGGTATTTAGTTTATTTGTTAAATTGAAATTTTAAAAAGTTCAGCCTGCTCTTTGCATAGATCCATTAGCCTGTTAACCCAAGAACTAAGTACTTAACATATCTAAATGCAGCATTAATACTCCCCACATTTGATATTTATGTGCAGGTCATCATTTAAAGAAATAAAAGTTCTTCTTACCACAGTTGTTTAATGTTGGGTCTCTGAAACAGTGAAGCTTCCCATAGATACATCTACAGAGGTAGCAGCCCTTGTAGACCCAGTCTCCATGGGCAAAGACACCACAGTTGCTGTGAATGACAAAGTCAGGAATTTGTTTGGGACAGAAAAATCTAGTTCTTCTTTAGCTGAGAAGATATAAATTACCTTCTTACCTTTTTCGTTCATCATGTTCACAGTATCTCCCAACAAAATGCATTGGACATACACAAAAACTGCCCAGGATACAGGTCCCTCCATTTTGACAGCAGGGTTTGGTACCTGTGAGGGTATGGTCATCACTGATTCTTTCTAGCAAATAAGCACACTTCCAAATTCTTTTACCCCCACTCTCACCCACACCTTCCCTTTTTCCCCCTCCTAAGTTGCTAAGGGATCTGAAAGATGTCTAATTTTATTGTCCCCAAAGGCAATAAAATTAGCTGCCTGTTAAGAGTATTTGCTCAGTTAAGCCTAGTTTGTTTACATAGGGATTAAAAACAAACTACTAGGGACCCAGGCTAGTCAAAAAGGGAATCTTGACAATTCAAAAGGAAAAAACATTTGAGTCTTCAATCTCTATTTAAAAAAACAAAACAAAACAAAAAACTAGCTGTGATTTCAATTCCTACTATAATCTTTAAACAAAAGAGTTTCCTAGCAGAGACCACACAAGTATTTTAATTGGCCAAAGCCATTAGGAAAAGAAAAAGAGAGAGAAAGGGTTCACCTCACTCCATCAGTTTGAAGTTTATACTGATTACAGCAGAATCTCTCACTTGAAGGTTTGTGATAAGTGGAGCCGGAATCTGCCATTATCTTTCTTTCAGTTGTTTGTTTTAATTACATTTTAATCGCACAGACTAGCCTGGCAGGCAGAAAATACCCATTTAAAAGCAAATGACAAGTTTTGCCCAGGAATTGCTAAAGTCATTTTTTTTTAAAGTAGGTTGAATAATTAAGGCTACAGAGTGAGAATTGCTACCAAAAGAGCTCTTTTTTAGTCTTTATACTGTATGCGTAGTTGAACTTTCTCCTCAGGTGCTACCATTTCCACTTAAAACAGACCCAATGAGTTCTTGTGTTGCATTGTTTCTTACCATCTCTAAACCCAATAAAAGGTATAAATGGCCCAGAACGGAGCTGTTTGGGGCTCTCAGAACTCCTGTTCAGCTCACTGATGATATTCAAAGTAGTGTGGTGATTTAGGGGCTGTTGCTTTTGGACCGTTGTATTAATGTGTTCTCCTCCGTTGCTTTTGGGTTTCTCTTTTTGATCAAAACCTTTTTTAAAAAGTCAGAGAAATGAGGTAGTATGACAGGTAAAAGCAAATATTTTCAAGATGTATAACAAAAACCATAAGAGATCATTAGTAGGTTGTTTCTTACCGTTTCCCAGTGGATGACTTGTAAGACCAAAGAGATGACAAAAAGAAGCCTGAAAATAAAAGCAAACTTTCTTTTAAATGAGATTTTTTTAAAAGGTGAAATAAATGAACAAGTAACAATTCATACTTCATAGAATCTATTTTTCATAGACAATATATTTAAGTACTTTATCATTGGTAGACTGATTAATGTTGAATTATCTTAAAAATTCATGAAAAGTTTATGAGAGAAGGGAGAAAAAAAGGTATTTTTATTAATTAGGAGTAAGATGTGTTGTTGTATAATAACTTAGTCTTGTGTTTAGCAACCTCAAGGCCTATATGACCTGTCCTTACCTGACATGAGATGTCCAGGCCATTTTCTCAAGGCCACAGCTAGGAAGGACGTGATTTGATTCTCTGCCTCTGCCTCAGCCTTCGCCTTCTTTTCAGTTAGCTGACTGGAATTAGATTTCCAAGGTGAAGTTTCCAAGGGGTTCTCACCCTCAAGCTATGCTTGTATGTGAAGGCATCTTCTTTACTCCAGACTGTGGAGCTCACGTATCCAGAAGCATGTGGAGAATCTACTGGCGCTCAAGAGATTCTGCCTGCACTATAAAGACATAGGTCTGATCATCCCTTTCAGCTCTTTAGATGAGGTACTGAGTCTGACAGAAAGCGATCATCACTGTCCATCTCCCTCCCCCTAAACAACACAAAGCTTACCGGAGGTGGGGCAGAATCTCATAGGCCCACCCATGTTTAGCCTTTTCACACACAGTATTTACAAGTCAGACAACACTAAGCAACACGAAATTCTTTATTTTAAAAAAGAAAGTAAAAACTGACAAAGGAAAACTTTAAACATATGGTATTAATGTCAAATGATACAAAGCAATACAAAATTCTTCACTTAAGAAAAGTAAAACCTGGCAATGAAAAAAATTTAAATGGTCTGATGAGGGCTGAATTTGAAATTAGATTCAGTTCAACCAACTAGTTGCTTGACTTAGGCAAATAACTTCACCTCTTAGATATAATTTTCCTCTTTTGCAAAATGACGATAATATTTTAATTACCTTTCATTATAGTGAGAAAGATGCTTTGCTAATCTTGAAGTGCTGTATAAATGTGAGCTTTTTTAGTCCTACCCCCAAAAATAATAATTGTGAAATAGTCATTAGAATTTATTAGAGGAATGTGGAAGGATGACTTGCTTGTTGCATATTTTGTACTGCCAAACACTTTTGTGGGTTTAAAAAGCATTTGTTTTTTCTTTTTTTCTGAAAAGACTAAAATAGGGAAAGAAAATGTTGCTTCAAACAAAAGTTAACTCCTATATTTGAGCTATGTGTGTGTGTGTGTACATATACCGTTTTGTATTAACAGCTTTACACACACACACACACACACACACACACATACACCTACACTTTGATCTTCCCATCAACATCATATAAGATCTGTAAGTTTGTATTCATGTGATAGAAGAAGTATAATCTGAAAGGGAATGGTGTGACCCAGCTATTTTTCTTATTTTTCTAGCCAAAGGTATGCTTGAGCTAAGTCTTACTGGCTCAGGAGAACTGATAATTAAATGTTCAGTGTGAGCATTCACTCTTCAGAAATTGTCAAATGCTACACTTGAGGGGTTGATTTATTGTTTCATTGTTTAAGAAATCGGAAGTGTTTATGCAGGTTAAACTTGAAAATGTTTCAAGTACATTTTCCCCCCCAGAGAGCTGGTTGTTAGTTACTAGCACACCCCTGTTTCTTGTATACTCCAGTGAAGTACAGTGCTTTAAAATATAAATGTAGATATAAACCTACATATATCTCTATTTATCTACCTATAGTTATAATATTATTATGCTTGAAAAGGAAGACTGTTCATTCTAGTCAAATTCCCTTATTCCTTAAAGGAAGGAGAATAGGAGCAGAAGTAAGAGAATAAAGTTGAGAATTTTAAAAGATATTTGTTATTAAAAGCAGCCTAACAGAAGTTTCTCTAGTCCCACCTCCCAGGATTTTAGTGAAGATATGAAGAGTGAAATGAACCCAAGCACTTCAGAGCTCATTGGAAAGTATAAAGCCCCATACAAATGCAAGGTATTATTATTCAGCGAACTTTGTTTCTCTAGTGGCCTTGGGCTTGAATCCCTAAAGACTGAGGGGGTTGGGGGTTCCTTTGTTGTTTTTGCTGACTGAAGGACACTGCAGAATTAACTCCAAATAAACTAAAACTTCTAAGTATCAAATCCAAGTTCTTTGTGCTTTAAAAAGACCTTCAAAACCTATGGCATGCCAAAATTATTGCTAAAAGCATGCTAAAATAACGAGAACCTTCTAAATACCTTGGTTAGGAATATAGTTTCTTTTGAGCTATAGTGACAGCTAATTCTTTGCAAGATCCTTGTGAAGTAGGCCGGCAATCATAAAATTATAGTGTTGAAAGGAACTTCTATAAGTCATTTAGTCCATCCTCCAATTTAATTTTGTGATATCTCTGACAGGTAGTCATCTGTTTTTTCACATGAACTTTCAGTTTCTTTATTTGTAACATATAAGTAACATGAGTAGGGCAGAAATTTGGAGCATGGATGGAGTGCCAGACCTGAAGTCAAGAATACTCATCTTCCTGAGTTTAAATCTGTGCTCAGACATTTAACTAGCTGTGTGACCCTGGGCAAGTCACTTAACCCTGTTTGCCTCAGTTCCTCATCTATAAAATGAGCTGGAAAAGGAAATGACAAACCACTCCAGTATTCTTTCCCAAAAAACCCCCAAATGGGGTCACAAAGAGAGGAACACTGCTGAAATGACTGAACAACCACAAACATAAGTGTAATAATACCTCGAAGGCTTTTCAGTATACTTTTGTATAGTAAGCTCAGAGGTTCAGTATTCTGCACATGGTAATGGCTTCTTAAATGTTGAAATGTAATCACTTCTTCTTTTAAGTTGAGAGGGTGGTCAGAACTGAAAAGAGACAGCAGAGCGCCAGGCTCCATGAAAATAAAGATTGACTCTTTTAGAAAAACAAAATGAATCCATGATCAAATATAAAATCCTATTTGGCAATCAGAGTCTTTGACAACATGGTCCCCTCCTACCTTTCCAGACTTCTTGTACCTTGTTCCTTCCCCTTATCTCTCACGTACTCTGTGATCCAGTGATACTGGCCTCTCCGCTGTTCCTCAAACAAGACACTCCATCTACAGACACCAGGCATTTTCACAGGCTGTTCCCCATGCTTAGAATGCCCTCTCTTCTCATCTTGGCTTCTCAGATTGACTGGCATCATTCAAGTCCCAGCTAAAATCCCACCTCCTACAGGAAGCCTTCCAGATGATCCCTCTTGATGCTACTAACTTCTCTCTGTTGATTATCTCCAAATTTATCCTGTATGTATTTAGTTTGTAGTAGTCGTTTTCATGTTGTCTACTCCATTAGACTGTGACGTCATCGAGAGCAGGAACTGTCTTTTGCCTTTCTTTGTAAACACAGAGATTAGCACAGTGCCTGGCACATACTAAGCATTAGGTGAAGGTTGTCATATTATTATTGTGTCATTCACCTTTTGAAGAGAACCAATAACATCATGATGTTGGGGTCAAGGTACACTGTGTTTGACTGTAGCTGATCAGTCTGATATGAGCTCAGAAGATTCTACCACAGCTCAAGCATAAATAATCCATTTGAACATTTGGGGTAGAGATGTCTTTAGATTTATGCATCTCATGTTTACGTTGTGCTACTGTGGTTATACTTTGCTTATGGAGCACAGTGCCTACTTTGATTTGGACATGCCGGGCTGAGTGGTCCTGTGCCTGCGTATGATGCTGACGCTCTTCAGAGAGACCTTGAGAGTGTCCTTGTGCCACTTTAACTTTTATTATTGTCAATACTTGTTGACTGGCTAATCATTGATGCAAATTGTCATAATTTGGCCACAAGATACTCTAATATTTGTTGAAGGCACACTGTATATAAAACGATATTACATACTGAAAGGGAAGCAGCTTAGTATTGTGGGAAAAGCATTAGATTTGGAGTAAAAGTACATGAGTTTGAAACCCAGTTTACCTTCTTGCCATCTATGTGAACTTGGTTGTTATTTAATCTCTCTAGGCCTCAGTTTCCCTAACTTTAAAATGAGAAGTTTGGACTAGATCACTATGAAAATGTAAGCTATTATGGTGATGATTTTATCCCAGTTATATATAAACCAGTATCTCAGTCCTCCCCTCCCCCCCCACTGGGTCCCCCCTCTCACCCCCATCAAATTATAAACTCCTTGAGAAGGCTCTGTATGTCTTTCTCTGAATGCCCAGCATCTAGCAGTGTTTTTCATGAGATTTTAACCAGTGACTGCTGAATTTTTTAAAAAAGTTCTTTTTATTAATTTATTTATTTTTAGTTTTCAACATTCACTTTTATAAGATTTTGAGTTCTAAAATGTTCCCCCTTCCTTCTCTCCTCCCTTCCCAAGATGGTGTGCAATCTGATATAGGCTTTACATGTACAATCATATTAAATATATTTCCACATTAGTCATGTTGTGAAAGAAGAATCAGAACAAAAGGGAAGAGCCACGAGAAAGAAAAAACAAACAAACAAACAAAAAGAAGAGAGAAAGAAAAGAGCATGCTTTGATCTGCATTCAGACTCCATAGTTCTTTCTCTGGATATCGATAGCATTTTCCATCATGAGTCTTTTGGAGATGTCTTAGATCATTGCATTGCGCTGAGAAGAGCTAAGTCTGTCAAAGTTAGTCATCACAGAATGTTGCTGTTACTGTGTACAGTGTTCTCCTGGTTCTGCTTACTCCAATAGGCATCAGTTCATTCAAGTCTTTCCAGGTTTTTCTGAAGTCCATCTGCTCATCACTTCTTATGGAATAATAGTATTCTACTACATTCATATACCACAACTTGTTCAGTCATTCCCCAATTGATGGACATGCCCCCAATTTCCAATATTTTGCCACCACAAATAGGGTTGCTATAAACATTTTTGCACATATAGGTCCTTTTCCTTTGTTTATGATCTCTTTGGGGTACAGACCTAGTAGTGATATTGCTAGGTTAAAGGGTATGCACAGTATGGTTGTTCTTTAGTTTTTTAGTTGCATGCCCTATTCATTGATATCTTCTTTCTCTATTTTATTCATGTTAGCATTCAGAGATATAAAATTTCTCCTAGGAAGTGCTTTAGCTGCATCTCATAAGTTTTGGTATGTTGTCTCATTATTGTCATTATTTTGGATGAAGTTATTGATTGTTCCTGTGATTTGTTGTTTGACCCACTCATTATTTAGGATTAGATTATTTAGTTTCTAATTAATTTTTAATCTATCTTTCCATGGCCCTTTATTACATGTAATTTTTATTGCATCATGATCTGAAAAGGTGCATTTAACATTTTTGCCTTTCTGCATTGGATTATGAGGTTTTTATGCCCTAATATATGGTCAATTTTTGTCTAGGTGCCATGTACTGCTGAGAAAAATGTATATTCCTTTCTATCCACATTCAGTTTTCTCCAGAGGTCTACGATATCTAACTTTTTAAAAGTTCTATTCACTGCCTTACCTTCTTATTTGTTTTATTTTGTGGTTAGATTTATCTAGCTCTGAGAGGGGGAGGTTGAGGTCCCCCACTAGCATACTTTTGCTGTCTATTTCTTTCTGTAACTCCCTTAACTTCTCCTCTAAGAATTTGGATGCTATACCACTTGGTGCATATATGTTTAGTATTTATATTATTTCATTGTCTGTGGTACCCTTTAGCAGGATGTAGATTCCTTCTTCATTTCTTTTAATTAGATCTATTTTGGCTTTTGCTTTGTCTGAGATCAGGATTGCTACTACTGCTTTTTTTTAACATCAGCTGAAGCATAATATATTCTATTCTAGCCTTTTATCTTTGCTCTGTGTGTATCTCTGTTTCAAATATGTTTCTTCTAAATAGCACATTTTAAGATTATGATTTTTAATCCACTCTGCTATCCACTTCTCTTTTATGGGAGAGTTCATCCCATTCACAGTCACAGTTATGATTAATAACTGTGTCTTTCTCTCCATCATATTTTCTCCCCTGTTTATGCTTTTCTCTCTCCTTTCTTTCTTTTCCTCCTCATTAGTGTTTTGCTTCTGACCACTGCCTCCCTCAATCTACCCTTCCTTCTAACAGCCCCCCTCCCTTTCCTTTTTCCTTTCCCCTCCTACTTCCTATAGAGTAAGATAGATTTCTATACCCAACTGTATGTGTATGTTATTCCCTCTTTGAGCAACATTCGATGAGAGTAAGGTTCAAACAATACTTGTCTCCCTCCCTTCTTTCCCTCTATTGTAGTAGATGTTTGCGCCTCTTTGTGTAATGCAATTTACCCTTTTCTGCCACCTCCTTTCCTCTTCTCCCAGTACTATCCTTTTTTTCCCCTTAATTAATTTTTTTTACCGTCACATCAATCAACTTATATTCACACCCTTTGTCTATGTATACCCCTTCTAAATGTCATAAGATACAGTTCTCAGCAGTTATAAAAGTTATCTTCCTATGTAGGAATATAAACAGTTTAACCTTATTGAATAACATTTTTTTCTTTCCTGTTTCCCTTTTTATGATTCTCTTGAGTCTTGTATTTGAAGAATGAATTTTCTGTTCATCTCCATTTTTTTTTCATCAGGAAAATTTGGAAGTCCCCTATTTTGTTGAATTTCCATCTTTTCCCCTGAAAGATTATGCTCAATTTTGATGGATCATTGATTCTTGGTTGAAATCTAAGCTCCCTTGCCCTCCAGAATGTCATATTCCAAGCCTTCCAGTCCTTTAATAATCTTGACTGTGGTTCCATGATTTTTAAATAGTTTCTTTCTGGCTACTTGTAGTATTTTCTCCTTGACCTGATAATTCTGGAATTTGGCTACCATATTTCTTGGAGTTTTCATTTTCTTTCACCCTTTTCAGGATGTGGCTGGTGGATTCTTTCAATGACTATTTTACCCTCTGGTTCTAGGCCCTTAGGGCAGTCTTCCTTGAAAATCTCTTGAAAGATGCTGTCCAGGCTCTTTTTTTTTTTTTTAAATCATGGCTTTCAGATAGACCAATGATTCTTAAATGATCTCTCCTGGATCTATTTTCTGGGTCAGTTCTTTTTCCAATGAGGTATTTTACATTTTCTCACATTTTTTCATTCTTTTGATTTTGTTTGACTGATTCTTGATGTTTCACAGAGTCATTAGCTCCCACTTGCCCAATTCAAATTTTTAAGGAATTGTTTTCTTCAGTTAGCTTTTATACCTTCTTTTCCAACTAGCCAATTTTACTTTTTAAGGAGTTGTTTTCTTTGGTCAATTTTTGTCCTTCCTCTTCCAAACTGTTGACTTTTTCTTGCGTACCTCTTATTTCTTTCCCCAGTTTTTCTTCTACTTCTCTTAGTTGACTTTTAAAATCCTTTTTGAGCTCTTCAAAGAAGTTTTTTTGGGCTTGAGACCAATTCATGTTGCCCTTTGAGGTTTCAGATACAGGTATGTTGATAATGTTGTCCTCTCTGAGTTGTGTTTTGATTTTCCCTGTCCCCATAGAAACTGTCTATGGTCAGTGTTCATTTTTGTTTTTGCTCATGATGTTTGCTTTTTATCTTGGCTTTTGAATTGAGCTCTGCTTCTGGGGCACAGGGCACACTGTCCTAAACTTCTTGTGCCGGGAGCCAGGGGCCTGGTCACTAGCTTTGTGTGCTGGGGCCTCAGGTGCTGGCAGCTGGAGGCTATAGGGGTCTGGCAGTTTGCCTGGTGCTGAGCTGGGATCCTAGTGGTGGTGTCTGGCATGTGCTGAGGCCAGGTGGGGTTTTTCTAGGTGTCCCTGTGGCTACACTGAAGCATATGGAGATCCCACAGCTGGCGGATGCCTGCCCACCTGTGGCTGCACTGGAGCAAATGGTGTTTCCCTGATCTGGAGTTTACTGGTTCCCCTGGCTATGCTAAAGCACATGGGCAGTGGGTGGGGGAGTCCTGATGTTGGCATTTGCCTGCTCTACCACCCTGGGGCTCAGGATCTCTTGCTGGTTTGCTGAGGTAGGGCTTGCTTACTGTCCTAGAATGTGCTCCCCTTTTATTCCAGTGAGATGGACCTTTCCTGCTGATGCTTCAAGTGTCCCGGGCTAAAAGACTGCTCCACCCCATCTTTCCACTGGCTCCATTGTTCCAGGATTTTTCCTGGGCACCATTTTCTATTTTTTTTTTTTTGCAGAGGTCAGTAATAGAAAGTGACAGCAATTTACTTTACTTCTCACTCCACCATCTTGACTCTGGAAAAAAGTTTTAAAA